ATATCATAAACTCTCTATAATGTGTTCAAAAACCGCAAATTACGACCAGCATAAAGGTAAACTGTTTTGTTCGAACAAAGTTCTTACCTTTGAAAATATTATTATTGCTTCATAATAACATCGAATTCGATTTTATTATCGAACATCTCTGAAAAACAAAACAATTTGATTCGACTTCAATTCTAATGTCAGTCGAGATGAAGTTTTATTCGAAATGAAATGTCAATAGCAAACAATTTTGACAACTGTCACGCGTTACTTGATATCGAACGATATGATAGTTGTGGCCGACTCTAGTTTGTCTATGAATTAAAAAAGCTACGATTTCGTGACATGCGTGACAAATGAGTTTTTTGCATTATTTTACTAATAATTACTGCTAAAAGCTCTGATCAATGCCGCAATGCCGGTCGTAACATACAGTTCCTGAACACATCATAGAGAGCTTATAATACGTATATAGATAAAGCGGGTATTTTAATGGCTTTCATTATGTAACAGCCACATAAACTACCTACTATAAATATTCAAGTATTTTTGTGTAATTATAAATAATACTTCACGACACAGTATTCGAACATTAAATGATATTCCACGATAACAAATCCAATACTTAAATATTAAAAATTGCCACAGAAATAGTAGTGAATACTAGTCCGAGAATGACCGTTGACATCCACAATTTTTTTAAAGACTCTCATAGCCCTGCGCTTTGAAAACTCTGCGTTGCGGGTGCCATGGACAAACCCACAAGAGAAATAAATGTAGACCATACACATATTTCTCCCGGCCTGGGAATAGAAATCAGGACCTCTGCGTGGCAGTCCAGCATGGTAACCATTCGGCCACAGAGGCAGTTAGGCAACTTATGTCTCAGGGTGACGGGCGCAGTGACAGTGCCCCTCAGGTCTTTGCGATTTAAAGCTCTGAGTGGCACTGCCATTGTTATAGACAGGCATGTAGCTTACTATCCAGTGCACGACTTGTTCGTCCCATCACTTGATATTATAAAAAAAACACAAGAAACAAGTAGTTGTTTCTAATCACATGGCATTCTTTAACATAGGTTCACATAAGAGTGTGACATACAATAATGATTACAAGCTATTGTGAGAAAGCGGAACCCGTACTAAGATACCCCGTGTTACAGTACTCCGATTCCCCATACCCGGACATGACTCATAAATATATGAAATAGGTAAATTGTATACAATATATAATATACACAAACCTCTAAATAGTTTTTCTGGGCTTCTGCGTGGCAGACCAGCACGGCAACCGTTCGGTAACGGAGGCAGTTAAATTAACTTATTTAAGAACGAACTTAGTCCCTATTCTAATTCGCAGTTGAAATCCACACGACAGATTAAAGGCATTCGTGGAAAGTTTTCAAAGCACTGCTCTTAAAACCTCCATTTGTTCACAGGCTCTGTATGGCGGCGCGCTCTACAGCAGTGCCTTATACAACAGCGCACTGTCTCCATGCGGATGTCCTCCTCAAAGGACCCCGTCGCCACCCCCACCAGACGTCAAACGCCCGGTCGCCTACGTCCTGATGAAGAGTGATGAGGAACCACCCCAACATGTCATATGAAGGCCGGTGGCGCTCCCGGCGAGAGTCTGGTCGCACTGGGAGCAGCCTTCCACGTCTGTCCAGGAGGATAGGGCCAGCTCGCCCGATAGCGTCTAAGACTGAGTAGGAATCTGCAAACTGGGTTTAGTGACAAAGTGCCCGAAAGTGAAAATACGAATATAATGTTTCGCGATGTGACTAAGTTAATAAGGTGATGAAGTAAGACAACTGTTGATTTAGACAATGGTGCTTTCATAGGTGACGCTTCCACTATAATTCACGAAAAAGTGATGTTCCGTTCCTTTATTAATGTAACACGTTACATTAATCCCTATTAAACAGTGCAATGTTACAAAAATACTTTATGATCGTGCAATGTATAGTTAAATCGAGTAACTCTCGTTTGAATAGTTAACATATCATAGCCTATAGGGTAACTTGTAAATCTAAGTGTTAGTTAGAATGTTATATGTCAATTGTAAAAATGTCATTTAGTAACATTTCGTAGATGCAGTGTTGATATTTTTTGCTGTTGGAACAAAAATTGTATTAAACCTCATTTATTGGGTATTGTGACCGTTAAATTCATCTTTGTCTAGACAATTAGCTACCATAAGATTAAGTTATCTCTCAACTGGTAGAAAATATTAACACTATCATCATTTCTACAAACATCTAATCATCGGTATAGGATAAAAATTTCGTCAATTTTCTTGCGCACACGCGTTTCTAATCTGGGACAAATTTATGAGCTCTACATAATCTTGCCTTGAAAATAAGTCAGTATTCAGCTGCGCTCGCACAAATGCCTCTTAATGCAGCGCACGACCTTTTAAATCAAATTAGGTTTAGAATAAAATTGACATCAGTCTCGATATTTTTTCTCTACATATCAAATCTATTATTATTGTAAAATTGTAAATATTATTAAATAAATTGTATACTTAATAATTACATCTTAATTTGTTATTATCTAAGAAGGTTGAAAACTATACAGGCTGTTATAAATGTTATACTGGATACGAATTTTTAAGGGATGTGACCTACCGATCTACTGGAACATCTTTGGAAAGCTTTTAACAAAAATAATTTTAAATTTCCACTCAAAGCATCAAAACCAATCTAAGCTTGTATAAACAGTACTTTTAAACAAACATTTTTTATAAAGTAACAAAATAAATATAGTTTCACTGCGCTCGGCCAATCATTAATATATAAGGCATTACAAACTGTATAGAGCCATATTGTCCATTTACTAATATGCAGTAAATGAAAAAAAACTAAACTAGAAATATTGTTTTAACCCCACTAGTCAAATCTGCGCGCAAAACGCTTTTTACATATACTAGTGTGGAAAAGGTTTTTGAAATTCAAACTTGACGTTGGACTGTGGTGCACCTAACTTTTTCTTTCGATGAAAAAGTCATAATCACACGTTCAGCTACGCGATTTGTGGTACATTATTTATGTAATATAAATTTATATATACCGTCATATATTTTATATACCGTTGGTATAACACACACACACTCAACATAGACCCGCACTAGGGAAACCCTGTGTCGCGGGTGCCTTGGACACACACATAGACAACCACAAATTACACCCAAACTCACGAGAGAAATAAAAGTAAGCCATACAAATATTTCTCCCGGCCCAGGAATCGAACCTGGGACCTCCGCGTGGCAGTCCGGCATGGTAACCGTTCGGCCACGGAGGCAGTTAAGTTAAGGAGTGGTATATTTTATTATTATTATTGTTGACATTAAATTGACAACGATAACTCATTTTGTTTATTAAATTATTTTAATTCGTCGAAGAAATAAAATAATTTCAATAATCACACAAAATTATAAATATATACAAGCATAAAAATAAAAATTGATGAGGTGCAAATTCAGAACGCATTTTCTTTCCATTTGAAAATCTGATTTCTTATTGTTCAACTGTTTTTCTTTCGTCTACCATTTTCCTCGCTATAGTGAGGTGAAAAACTGTGTGTTTCACTCGGCGGCAACGTGTTTTGCGTCTCGTGCATGGAAACCCTCGCTACGCTCAGGATTTTATTTTGAATCATTCAATCTTAGACTCCTTCACTTGCTCAGGTTTGAATTCAAGCATTCGTGTCAAACAACAATTTTGCAGCCTTGCATAACAAATAACTATTTCAAATTACTATAATTATTTATTTATTTAGATACACCATCGGCACAAACATAGAGAAATTTCAATGTTATAACATATAATTTTTTATACAGTATCTTGTACCATTCCAGGCATATACAGCATTTACGAAGAGAAAAAAAAACTTTAATTTAAAAAGCAAACAGAAACAAAAATACTGTACATAAAAAAAAACAAATACTACTATCTAAAAAATTATTAAACAATATAAAACAAAACCCCTGAGACGTGGCGTCTTAGGAGTTTAAAGCAGTTGTTACGTTCCGTTTGAACTTATATAATGAGTCGTGGAAGATTTCAACCACGTCTGTATTTACGTTATTGAAAGTTCTCATGCTACGGTAAAGTGGAGAAAAATGGCCTATATTAGTACGAGATACAGGAACCGAAAATATATTTCGCACTGGGTAACGTGGAAGCCTTCTGGGTATCGCCAAGTTAACTTGAGACATTATTTAGGGCGTGTCTACCTGGCTACTCGTATGTAAAACCTTATAGAGGAAAGTTAGGTCGAAAACTTGTCTCCGAGTCTTTAATGTCTCCAACTTGAAATGTAACAGACGCTCACCGTAGTCTGCATACGGGCATTGTTTATTTTTATATGCTAGAAAGCGAGTGAATGAGCGTTGTACGCGTTCTATCCTATCTACATGGATTTGATAGTGCTGATTCCATATTGGTGTCGCATATTCAAGAGTTTTCCAAATTAACGAGTTGTACAATGTTAAAATTGCGTGTACGTTTCTAAAATTTTTACAAGTACGCTTCACAAACCCTAGCATTTTCCACGACTTCTTGACTATTTATGTGGGCACCAAAACTTAATTTGTTATCTATCAGAACACCCAAATCTCGCACTTCAGTCGATTCGCTGAGTGCTTGATTATCCAGATAATATTGAAAGGAAACAGTATTGATTTTTTTGTAAACTTAATATGAGTACATTTTGTTACATTTAATAACATTTTATTGTGCTTGCACCATCGCGCCACAGCCGTCAAATCAACCTGCAGAAACTTAATGTCCTCAACACTTCTCATTTCTTTGTATATTTTAAGGTCATCAGCATATACTAAATATTCGCAGTTACGTATACAGTCAGTAATGTCGTTAATAAATAAGTTGAAGAGTATTGGACCGAGATGTGAACCTTGTGGCACTCCAGAATGAGCTGCCTATATTGAATAATGTACTGTATTTGTATGCTATGCGTTTGATATATTGTTCCAAAAATTGTTTAGATAGATATAACGTCATCCCTTAAAAATTTCACTAGTTCAGTAACAATTATAATAACCGTTAAGATTAATTTGCAGTAAAAGTTTTTGTTATTTTTTTACACATTTTGAACTGATTTAAAAAATTGGGGATCTTTTATTATTCGTTAATTTTAAGCAATTTGAATAGAGAGCGGAATATGACAAACAATATTTTTATTATTTACCCATATTTTAGGTTTTAACAAACTACTTACTGAAGCCTTTAGAAAGAATACTGATACTTGTACGATGCTTAATATAACAATCTTATTTTTGTAGCGGTGCCGGTGGTTAAAATATTACACCATGACGCACGTTTAGAAATAAAATGGCCTAAGACAAAGTTTGTCAAAATTGTAAATATCTCAATTTATACAAACTTTCATTAAGAAAATTATTTGTCACGCAATACATCAAAATAAATTACATACAAACATGTGAAATGGGTCTACGATTCAGCTACAAAAATGTGTGGAGTAATGATTAAGACTACACCCAAATACTACCAAAGTAACAATTATACCTGAGCTAAAATAGCACAATTACTTAAAAAACTATAAAAATCTGAAATATTCAAAAGCAAGTAATGCATGGGAGTCAAATCACAGAATTACTTGTGAACATTTGCAAATTACACTTTATGGTCAAATACTCATTCAAATATGGGACCGACTTCTTCGCGAAGAATAGGTAGAACATTTTTAAAAATAAAACGTAATTCATATTTGATGTATCTTTTGTCTGTTTTAATAATAAATAATTTATACCTAAATATCAATAATTGCATAACATTTTTAGGAAACTGACAAAATAAATTTAAAGAAAATAACATACATGGCACCAACTATTTGGCCAGTGCTAAATATTAATTTCATTTCGTACATTATTTTTTTATCTATTTTACGAGTTTCCAAATAATTCTTCTTTTTGACCTTTGTCACTTTATTCTAGAGAGTGCGCTGTTTTTTTATTTGTCAGCACTGAACCTTGAAAGACTTTACTTTTACAAAAATGTGACAGCTGCATCGGAAAATTTTGTTCCACGATAAAGGTCTTTAAGTTAGGATTGCAGCTCTAAATTTATAAGTTTACTCGGCTACGGATTATTGTACACAGACTATCATTTGAATAAACATTTTTAAAACTTTTATTACTTACTTTGTTATTCACTAAATGATGATCACCAGTTAATGGTATCTTACCACGGTATGACTTCAAACTGTTAAACGTATCGACTTCTTATTGTAAACACATCGAAATAATAACACGTCACGCCAGTCGGATCCTTCTTGTAATAAAGCTACATAGGAGAGTTCGTCAAGGGTGGTACTGCCACCTTAGCCATTTCCTCCTTTTCCATTTTCATATGCCTCCAAGCAGTATGTGAGCATTACCGCGTTCCGGTTTTGAAGGGTATGCGTGCTGGTGAAATTACAGGCACATGAGACTTTTCAACTTATATCTCAGGGTGACGGGCGCAGTGGCAGTGCGTGACGCTCACTGCCAGACGTATGTGTTGGCTGTAGTATACCAAAGGTACGAATTCATGCCGTGCTAAGAAACCTTGTGACAAATCTATATACAAGTGACACAAGGTAGAATATTCAACAAAGAATTTTGACAGATTGTATATGTTGAAGTGTGGCCCAAGTCACTTTTTTGATGCCCACCGAGTTGTTTAAATAATAAGAAACTAATACAATTAGGTTTTGTTTTTAATTAATTTTATATTGTTACAGTTATTGTTATCACAAGTTTTTGTTAATATCATCAGATGGGAAAGTTGTCATTTCTTTTTCTACGTTTTGTATTTGGTTTTTAGTTATTTAAAATATTAAATGGAAATAAAGGGAAAATTTAAATATTACCGATATGTTTGTTTTATTAAATTAATTGTAATATAAGATTTACGTATTGTTAGCTAAGACAAAAAAAAGACTGAATGTCGAACCTATTTCGTATGACAAAAAGCTTTTGACTTCTTGTGTTTAACGTTTCAATCAAAGGCAGTACTTTTAATTTTTGGAACTTAAGGTGAGGAAATTTTAAATAAAGAGAAATCTTTTTGAAACTAATTAAGAGGAAGGAGTTGCAAGAAAATGTAGTAAAAATAGTAAAAGACACTATAAATATAATAACTCTAACATTTTAATGTTATTTTGAATAGTAACAACG